GAGCCTATCACACCCGATCATCACGTGGTGTCTCAGCACGAAGAACTTTCGCAACGGTGCATACTCAGGGAAAACACTTCTTGATAATTAGTGAGAGATCATCTTAAAATGCTACCGTCAATCAAAGCAAGATAAGATGCATAAAAGATAAACATCACATGCAATCAATATAAGTGATCTCCATCTTGTGCTTGTGATCTCCATCTTCGAAGCACCATTGTGATCACCATCATCACCGGCGCGACACCTTGATCACCATCGTAGCCTCGTTGTCGTCTCGCCAATCTTATGCTTCCACGACTATCGCTACCGCTTAGTGATAAAGTAAAGCATTACATCGCAATTGCATTGCATACAATAAAGCGACAACCATATGGCTCCTGCCAGTTGCCGATAACTTGTTACAAAACATGATCATCTCATACAATAAAATTTAGCATCATGTCTTGACCATATCACATCACAACATGCCCTACAAAAACAAGTTAGACGTCCTCTACTTTGTTGTTGCAAGTTTTACGTGGCTGCTACGGGCTTAAGCAAGAACCAATCTTACCTACGCATCAAAACCACAACGATAGTTTGTCAAGTTGGTGATGTTTTAACCTTCGCAAGGACCGGGCATAGCCACACTCGGTTCAACTAAAGTTGGAGAAACTGTCACCCGCTAGCCACCTTTGTGCAAAGCACGTCGGGAGAACTGGTCTCGCGTAAGTGTACGCGTAATGTCGGTCCGGGCCGCTTCATCCAACAATACCGCCGAACCAAAGTATGACATGCTGGTAAGCAGTATGACTTATATCTCCCACAACTCACTTGTGTTCTACTCGTGCATATAACATCAACACATAAAACCTAGGCTCGGATGCCACTGTTGGGGAACGTAGTAATTTCAAAATTTTCCTACGCACATGCAAGATCATGGTGATGCATAGCAACGAGAGGGGAGAGTGTGATCTACGTACCCTTGTAGACCGACAGCGGAAGCGTTAGCACAACGCGGTTGATGTAGTCGTACGTCTTCACGACCTGACCGATCAAGCACCGAAACTACGGCACCTCCGAGTTTTAGCACACGTTCAGCTCGATGACGATCCCCGGACTCCCATCCAGCAAAGTGTCGGGGTAGAGTTCCATCAGCACGACGGCGTGGTGACGATCTTGATGTACTACCGTCGCAGGGCTTCGCCTAAGAACCGCTACAATATTATCGAGGATTATGGTGGAAGGGGGCACCACACACGGCTAAGAATATGATCACGTGGATCAACTTGTGTGTCTAGGGGTGCCCCCTGCCCCCGTATATAAAGGAGCAAGGGGAGGAGATCGGCCGGCCCCTATTGGCGCGCCAGGAGGAGTCCTCCTCCTAGTAGGAGTAGGACTCCTACTAGGAGGGGGAAGGAAGTGGGGAGGGAGAAGGAAAGGGGGCGCCGCCCCCCTCTCCTAGTACAATTTGGACCAGGGGGGAGGAGGCGCGCGGCCCACCCTGGCTGCCCCTCTCTCTCTCCACTAAGGCCCATATGGCCCATTACTTCTCCCGGTAGGGTTCCGGTAACCCTCCGGCTCTCTGGTTTTCTCCGAAATCACCCGGAACACTTCTGGTGTCCGAATATAGCCGTCTAATATATCAATCTTTATGTCTCGACCATTTCGAGACTCCTCGGTATGTCCGTGATCACATCCGGGACTCCGAACTAACTTCGGTACATCAAAACTCATAAACTCATAATATAACTGTCATCGAAACCTTAAGCGTGCGGACCCTATGGGTTCGAGAACAATGTAGACATGACCGAGACACGTCTTCGGTCAATAACCAATAGCGAAACCTGGATGCTCATATTGGCTCCTACATATTCTACGAAGATCTTTATCGGTCAGACCGCATAACAACATACGTTGTTCCCTTTGTCATCGGTATTTTACTTGCCCGAGATTCGATCGTCGGTATCTCAATACCTAGTTCAATCTCGTTACCGGCAAGTCTCTTTACTCGTTTCGTAATACATCATCCCGCAACTAACTCATTAGTTGAAATGCTTGCAAGGCTTATGTGATGTGCATTACCGAGAGGGCCTAGAGATACCTCTCTGACAATCGGAGTGACAAATCCTAATATCAAAATACACCAACCCAACATGTACCTTTGGAGACACCTGTAGAGCTCCTTTATAATCACCCAGTTGCGTTGTGACGTTTGGTAGCACACAAAGTGTTCCTCCGGCAAACGGGAGTTGCATAATCTCCTAGTCATAGGAACATGTATAAGTCATGAAGAAAGCAATAGCAACATACTGAACGATCGGGTGCTAAGCTAATGGAATGGGTCATGTCAATCACATCATTCTCCTAATAATGTGATCCCGTTAATCAAATGACAACACATGTCTATGGTTAGGAAACATAACCATCTTTGATTAATGAGCTAGTCAAGTAGAGGCATACTAGTGACGTTTGGTTTGTCTATGTATTCACACAAGTATTATGTTTCCGGATAATACAATTCTAGCATGAATAATAAACATTTATCATGATATAAGGAAATAACATAATAACATTATTATTGCCTCTTGGGCATATTTCCTTCACAAATACCATCGTCCTATATATCAATCTTTACCTCTCGACCATTTCGAGACTCCTCATCATGTCCGTGATCTCATCTGGTACTTCGAACAACATTCGGTCACCAAATCACATAACTCATATAATACTATATCGTCATCGAACGTTAAGCGTGCGGACCCTACGGGTTTGAGAACTATGTAGACATAACCGAGACACCTCTCCGGTCAATAACCAATACCTGAACCTGGATGCCGATATTGGCTCCTAAATATTCTACGATGATCTTTATCGGTCGAACCGTTATGACAACATACGTAATTCCCTTTGTCCATCGATATGTTACTTGCCCGAGATTCGACCGTCAGTATCTTCATATCTAGTTCAATCTCGTTACCTGCAAGTTTATTTACTCGTTCCGTAATACATCACCTCGTGACTAACTCCTTAGTCGTTTTCTTGCAGGCTTATGATGTGTATTACCGAGAGGGCCCAAAGATACCTCTCTGATACTCGGAGTGACAAATTCTAATCTCAATCTATGCCAACTCAACAAACACCTTCGGAGATACCTGTAGAGCATCTTTATAATCACCCAGTTACGTTGTGACGTTTGATAGCACACAAGGCATTCCTCTGGTATCCGGGAGTTGCATAATCTCATAGTCAAAGGAATATGTATTTGACATGAAAAAAGCAATATCAATAAAACTGAACGATCATTATGCTAAGCTAACGGATGGGTCTTGTCCATCACATCATTCTCCTAATGATGTGATCCCGTTATCAAATGACAATTCATGTCCATGGTTAGGAAACCTTAACCATCTTTGATCAACGAGCTAGTCAAGTAGAGGCTCACTAGGGACACAGTGTTTGTTTATGTATTCACACATGTATCTAGGTTTCCGATCAATACAATTCTAGTATGAATAATAAACCTTTATCATGAACAAGGAAATATAAAATAACAACTTTATTATTGCCTTTAGGGCATATTTCCTTCAGTCCAAACCCCTGATACCCATATTCATATCAACCCCAGTCAAAACGAATCCCCACATACCACTTTTTTTCTTTGAGAATCTTCTCCACATACCACTTAGATCTGTCAATGAAATTTAAAGTTTACATTTTCAAATAGCGACAAATACATTTGATATTGATTTGCCTCTATCTTGAAAAACAATCAACAACTCAAAAATTAATTATGATTTGTAATTTTCCTTAGGAAGGAATGACAGCGGCCCTTGATAGCGTTGAATAAACCAATGCCGGCCCAAAAGCTCGATGTTAGAGCTGGGCTTGAGCCTCACTTTCTAGTTGTAGCCGACCTAAGAGCCTAAAAAAACCTAGCCGGCATGATTTAGGAGGGTTTTACATAAAAATAGGCAATTAGGTAGTAAAAGAGATTGAAAATAGCCATGGCCGAAACTTTAACCTAATTCTCTTCGTCGGGCACGACGGTAGCATGACGGGGGGAGGAGATTGAGGGAAGGGTGGGGTGACAAGGCCGACGCGGGAGCGCCACTGGCCACGGGTGGTAGTGATCCAGCCGATGGTACATTCAATAGTTGGGGAAGAAGAAGAAGGCGAGAGCTGGAGGTTGAAGAAGCAATCTCGACAAGTCGACTGCCCAAATAGAATTTTTAGTCGACTTACCCCTAGCCAATCCCTTAACAATCTACAGGCTGCACTTTCAAGGGCTCATCCTCAACCAAATATGTTTACTGTTCATGATTTTCCATCTTTTGGGGGGCGAATCAGGGGCTTTCTGGTACTTTTGTCAATAATCAAGTTCGTGTACAAGTGACTATGTTAATACTCTAGTTTAATTGCAGTGTCTTTGTTGAAGGCTTGAGGAGATTTTGTATTCCAAAAATTATTTCCAAGAAGATGCATGCAGGAGATTTTATTGTAATTTCTAATTTGAGAAATTATTTTGTACACGCTCTATTCACTAATGTAAGACATTTGACAAACCATCTTACATTAGTGAACAGAGCTAGTAGTTTTTTCTTTTTTGGATCTTCGATCCAAAGCATTTTACCTTAATGGTTTTTTCTAGAATCACCTTAATGGTTTTCATGCTTGAATAAAGTTACATGATTTAATCCTGATTTTTTTATTAATTTGTATTACCAAAATAGCCATTTCCATGGCTACGGGCTGGGCTTGGCATTTTGTTGTCGGCCTTTGCAAGGCCTGGCCTGAAACCCGGCCCTGCCCGCCCGGTCAATGCCCTGGTCTAGCGCTGAATATGTCCTCATCGGTGCCACTGTCTCGGCTCCAAACTCCACCGCCTACGGCCACGGTACACTATCGCTTTTGCTTGTGCGGCGTCGCGCCGCGCTGGCCAGAAATACCAGGCGGAGGCTCAAGAGATCAAGAAGCTGGCGGCGAGCAACGGGTGGGAGCGCGCCGATGGGAGCGCCATGGCCGGGATGGACCCTGGCGCCGGCGAGCCCCGGGGCGCGTCGCACTACCTCGACCTCCTCCTCGCGCAGCAGCAGCAGTCGACGCCGTTCTCCCCCTTCGCGCATGTCAAGGCGGAGCATCACTCCATGGCGTCGCCGGTCAGGAGCCCCGCCTCCGGCGCCGGGGCCGGGCAACACGGGGGCGGCGCCGACCAGCAGCAGCCCTCCTCATCGGCCATGGTGCTGGCGGACGGCGGCGGGGGGCCCGCGCGGCCGATGCGGCGCCCGCGGGGGAGGCCGCCGGGGTCCAAGAACAAGCCCAAGCCGCCCATCATCGTGATGCGGGACAGCCCCAACGCGTTCCACTCCCACATCCTCGAGGTCGCCGACGGCGCCGACATCGTCGAGTGCCTCGCCGAGTACGCGCGCCGCCGCCGGCGCGGCGTCTGCGTGCTCAGCGGCGCCGGGGTCGTCACCAACGTCGCGCTTCGTCAGCCCGGCGCGCCGTCGTCGTCGTCGCCTGGCGGCCTCGTTGCCACCCTGCAGGGGCAGTTCGAGATCCTGTCGCTGACGGGCACGGTGCTGCCGCCGCCGGCACCCCCGGCTGCCAGCAGCCTCGCCGTGTACCTCGCCGGCTGGCAGGGGCAGGTCGTCGGCGGCAGCGTGGTCGGCCAGCTCGTCGCCGCGGGGCCCGTGTTCCTCATGGCCGCGTCGTTTGCCAATGCCGTCTACGAGCGCCTACCGCTGGAGGGGGAGGCAGAGGAGGCCGGCACGGCCACCGCAGCCACAGAGGCGCAGGGAGCAGCCGCAGCAGCGCAGTCCCCCGGCGCCTTACCGCAGCAGCCCGCGGCGTCGCAGTCGTCGGAGGTGACCGGAGGCGAGGCCGGTGGGCTTGGCATGCCGTTGTGCAATCTTGAAGGGAATGTTGGGAGCTACCACTTGCCCGGACCCGGAGACAACTTGGGGAGCTGGAGCGGCGTCAGGCCATGATTGCTTCGACCATCTTCAAGCAAGGTCGTTCTTTAGCAATGCCGTCGCATCAGAATTACTAGGAGATCCGAAGAAACTGCAATCGATCACCGTGGGAAAGCATTTGGTCTACGGTACGTGTTGCAGGCTTTGCACTTGAGGCGATTTGTGGAGTATGCAATGCATGTAAAATTATGGGTGAACACATTTTGTGGACTAGTTTTTTAGACTTTTAGTGCTCATGTCGGAAATATCTCAGCGTCGCAAGAATTTATTTTGGATAGTTCAACAAGAATCCGGAAGAATGAAAAGGTTACGTCGATGTCCCGTTCTTTCTTCCGGGTTCATCCTGTAATATTTTTCATCTCGAATCCGTGGCCTTTTTACAGCAACTTTTCTATGCAATGATGCTTCTTACTCTTACTTTAATTCTCAGTTCGACCTTCTACTAGTACTACCCCTCCCACAACAATTTAACAAAAATGATAGCATGGTGATCACGCAACGCAAGGTGTCTTCCGGTCTTTGTTTTCCAATGCATGTGTCACTTGATCAGGACAACTTCACCGTGCAACCCCGTTCTGTCCGGCCCCGTCCGTTTGGGTAAAACGGACAAACGAGGCAGCCCAGCGCGTGACGGCCCAGATCCATCTGATCCGTTTTATGTCCGGGCCGACCCATTTCGAGCGCATCTTTGTGTCGGGTTTGGATCGCCACGGATATCGAACGGACGCGCCACTCGTCCGCGTGACGGGGCGGCCACCTACCTTTCATCCGCCAACATCAATGCGCACGGGTGGCCGGTCTCACCTGTCATCGGCCCAGTGGAAGGTTGCCGTCCTTCTTAAATGAGGAACCCGTGGACCGGTCCTCGTCCACACTGCTTCACTCCATCCCGCGGCCTCCTCGAAACCCGACAACGCTAAACCCTAGCCTTTCTTTGTCCTCGAGCTCGCCGGCCGGCCACCTCGAAGCCATGGGCTTCTAGAACCGCAAGGGGAAGCACGACCGCGAGGCCGGCTCCTCGTCGGGGCGCCGCGCCGGCTCCGTGAAGGAGGCTGCATCACCAGCACGCCGCCCCCCCGCGCCGCCCGCTTTCTCCATCGCCCCCATGTCCGCCGGCGAGCGCGACCGACACTACATTCGCGCGTCGGTGTGCCGCCGTTATTGGAAGACGAGGACGCCGCTTCCCTGGAGCGACGTCCACCTCCCCAACAACTGGCACCTGTCCATCGATCATGTGCCGATCCCGGCGAGAGGTCGTGCGCGCCGTGAAGAGATCGAGCGCCGCCGCCGCCTCCTTCCCGATGACCTGTACTATGACGACAGGTACGCCCCGCCGTCGCCGTCGCCTTCGCCATCTCCACCACCACCTCCTCGCATGACAGAGGAAGAGGAGGCCCGTCTCATGGCCCGTGTGATGGAGGACTCTATGTACACGCACGATGAGCGGCAATGGGAGGGCCTGAAGGAGATGATGGCCCGCTCCGCCGCCGGCGAGGTAGCCATCCCCGAGCTGGAGATGGTAGCCGCGGAGGAGGCAATGGAGGAGGAGCCGGTGGCCGCGTTCCACCCGGGTCTGGTGGGCCAGGGGTGGGTCTGGTCCTGCACTGCACCGGAGATGGCCGCCGCCGTGGGCGTCAACTGGTGCGCCACTCCGCCGCGGTCACCGGAGCGGGAGGCGTCGCCACGGGAGGAGGTCGTGTAGGCACCTCCCGCCGTCCAGCCCGCCCCCGTCTACCACGCACCGTCGGCCCACCTCTGGACGCCGCCGGCCTACGTGGACCTCGTCAGCGACGACGCCGACGCCGGCGGCCACTGAAGACGGCGACGACATCGACGGGCACGGGCAGGAGGGCGCTAGCTGCGGCCGTTTATTATTTTCCTTTTTGTATTTAATCATGTCAAGTTAAACGTGAAACTGGACCGTTTTGTGGCCATGAACCTTAACTTAAGTTTTAAGTTTTTTAAACTGCGTTTATTTACTTTTTAAAGACATTTTTATGTTTCTTTAAACACGTCCAATACGGACAAGATTTAGGGTGCGGCCGCGCGCTGGGCGCATCCGCGACTCATCGGACAGACGCGGACATGGGCGAATCCATTGCCGCCCCAAATGAACAAAATCCGGACAAAGCGGACGTCCGTTTGTGGGTTGGCCTCATGACATGGGCAATTGCCTGCTTCTGTTCAATTTTGCCAGTGTCGACTCTGGATTAAGGAGTGATCGGGTGAGGATTTTGAACCCTAGTTTAGGGTCTGCGACAATTTCAGGATTAGTACGATTTTCTACAGCGTGCTAGTCGTACGAGCCTACTCCACTTTGCAATCTAGCCTCCCCTGTAGAAAAAGAAGTAACTACAGTTATGTCCCTAGTCCTCTGTTTTGTCCGTCAGTAATGCCAGGTTGAGGTCTCCTAGATCCTTTTGGCAGCCCGGCGTGGCACGAGCTCCAGCCACGAAACTATGCCAGCCAGCGGGAGCCTAAATCAAATAGTGTACAAGTAATGTATTTCTAAATGCATTGGTCCATCTAGTATTTCTTCAAATGAAATCGATATTAATCAAATTTGAAGTAATCAAATTTGGAGGAGTACTTCATGGTACCAACATCACATGTTTTTGTCATCTGGCATTCGACGAAAGGTATGTTTGACTGCGCCCAAATCCTTGGTCCTTCTCGAGCATATCCTCGAGAGAAAAGATGGGCTCGGTGGCTGTTTCAGTCGATCTCCTCCTTTATTTCTTGGCAGTGCATGCGTGGCTGCGATCGCTGCTGCGGTTGTTCAGATAGAGCCAAAGGCTATACATGCGGTTATGGCTGTGCAGAGGGAAAGAGAGAGAGAGGGCCTAGCACAGGCGCACGCTGGCGTACCATTTACTGTTGCTGCGGGAGGGGTAAAGATTCTAGCGATCTGCTGCTTCTGCCGCTCTTCTCCCGAGCAGTGCGATCCTGGAAATTTTGTTCGTGCTCGGTGCTGTTTCGTGTTCATCGGGAGAGATGCAGGAGGGGGCAGAGCACCGCTTTGGGACTCGTTCAGCTTTGCAACTTTTGATGCCATCGCACCTCCTTCTCTGGTCAAAGGTGTGCTCTCGGTCATCAGACTCAAACGTCACGAGGGAGAATATCATACTATGAAACCAACGTTCGGTGAAAATCGATAAAAACCGCACGATTTTTTTTAAGTTTCAACAAAATCTCGATAATATACGGCATGTTCGGGTGACATCTCATAATGTGTTTCAATTTGAAATTTTTGCGTGATAATAAAACATCACGCTAACATCCCGTATTTTTTCCAGAATTTCTTTTAGAAATTTTCAAATGTGATTTTCATGATTTTTCTTTGAATGTTAGTTTTCTATGATATCCCCCCAATGTCACGGAAGAATTTCATATGAAACCAAGACACGACTACGGGAGCGCGTAAGGGCAACTCCAACGCGCGACGCGGATTTGATCCGGTTTTTGTCTGTTTGGGTTGGCCATAGGGGCGGCGTCCGGCCTCGTCCATGTGTTTGCAGGCCAGTGTGCCTGACCGACCGATACATTTCATCCGCGCGACTAGTATGCATCCATATTTTTACGCACTTTTTTTGCATACAAATCTAAACATTGCCCAAAGTTTAAATCACATACTTTACAATCAAATAAAAATCTCGTAGTTTACGAATCAAATAAAAAATCATAAATATATTAAAAAGAAAAAGAGTTGTCACATCGATAGGTTGCCAAGGTGAGTCCATGTATGCTTAATCAAATCATTTTGAAGTTGAATGTTAGTTGTCCAATCACGCAGTTCATGATAAAATTGGGTGAATAATGCAAACGTTGCAGGTACTCCATGCTCAGTCACAATATTTTCATCCTGAAATTGGAACCCTTGGACGAAGATTTTGTCCCCACGTTCATCCTCTATGATCATGGTGTGCATGATCACACAAATAGTCATGACCTCCCATAATTTCTTGGTGCTTCAAATTCTGGCAGGATACCGTACGATGGCCCGTCGAGATTGAAGCACACTAAAATCACCACTAGTGCAGAATCGGGCATTGTCATAGTTGGTCCTGGGTTTTATTCATAAGCATGAATGTTTTTGTTTTCTATCATATTTCCCAACACGCCGGAGTAGCCACATAGGCGGTTGTAATTGATGGATTGCGAGTTGCTTCAGTCGAAAGCTATTTCTTGCTTTAAGCGAGACGATAGCCTCCTCTCGCTGAAGATTTAGGGGAGTTGATGTGTATCCCCCGCAACGACCCTGATGTAGTGCGCGAGAGCTATTTCTTGCTTTCCCAAGGAATCTTGCTCCGTCGTACGAAATGAGTCAACCCATTTTCTTCTCCTCCACTTAAAAACAACAGAGAAAAAGGCAGGATACCGTACGATGGCCCGTCGAGATTGAAGCACACTAAAATCACCACTAGTGCAGAATCGGGCATTGTCATAGTTGGTCCTGGGTTTTATTCATAGGCACGAATGTTTTTGTTTTCTATTATGTTTCCCAACACACCAGAGTAGCCACATAGGCGGTTGTAATTGATGGATTGCGAGCTGCTTCAGTTGAAAGCTATTTCTTGCTTTAAGCGAGACGATAGCCTCCTCTCGCTGAAGATTTAGGGGAGTTGATGTGTATCCCCCGCAACGACCCTGATGTAGTGCGCGAGAGGCAAAATTGGCAAAATTGATCTTAAAACGAAAGTATTTCACAAACTAAATTGTTTTAGAAAATATTTCACACTGCTGACCCTTTTGTGCAGCGCCCGACAACAAGGCGCTTGTTGGAAATATGCCCTAGAGGCAATAATAAATTGATTATTATTATATTTCCTTGTTCATGATAATCGTTTATTATCTATGCTAGAATTGTATTGATAGGAAACTCAGATACATGTGTGGATACATAGACAACACCATGTCCCTAGTAAGCCTCTAGTTGACTAGCTCGTTGATCAATAAATGGTTACGGTTTCCTGACCATGGACATTGGATGTCGTTGATAACGGGATCACATCATT